CAAAGCCATTCCGAATGGCTCCAGAAGCAACCTAGGACCATTAAGGGAGATAAATCAAGATTTGAAAAATAAAACTTATTTTCCCCCCCCAGTCCTCAAGGCAGCCGTGCACAGCTATGTTCATTAAAAGCAGCATCCGCCGGGCCTTTAATTAAAAAGTTGGTGACGAAGTTTTAAATATGATTAAACAACAGAACAAGCTACAGGATGTTGATGGCTCTTTTGTGGGGGCGAAGAAAGTTACTGGCGTGGTTTGGTTTTTCCCTGCTCGGAGTTTTAGCAACAGCTCCTCTCTCTCTGCTGGGATGTTTTCACGTCTCCTTCATTTGGTTTTCTTAATTAAAGTGCTGGAAGGTTAGGATTCTGATAATGAATTGCTTGCTAGAATTTTGCTTGCTAGAATTTTAGAATTCTGTGTTGGTGGCTTGTCCTAGTGGCTTCTCTTTCCAGAAACCAAACCTTGCAATATATTTATTTGTATCTTGCCTTTATTATTTTTACAAATAACTCAAGGCAACAAATATAGCTACTCCTTCCTCCTTCTTGCAGGATTGTTCTTGTGGAGAAAATAGAAAGTGCATTGGATATGTTTGCTCCCTTGACTTATTTGTAAAAATAATAAGGATGAGGAAGGAAGGAAGGAAGGAAGGAAGGAAGGAAGGAAGGAAGGAAGGAAGGAAGGAAGGAAGGAAGGAAACCCACTGTAGTTTGCAAAGTAAAAAAGGAATAGAGAAACTGGAGGCACAATTCCACACCCATGAGACACAAAGACCATTTTTTCCTCCTGGGTCCAACAGCAGTTTAAGAGCCTCTTCATCCATCACCGAACTAAATTCCTCAACAACAACAACAACAACAAAAGGAGCACCCAAGTGTGAAGTCCAAAACCGGTCCACTTGGTTCGGAGTCAGAGCCATTCTGAGAACTCATGATTAAACCGTGACTAATGAGATTTCCCAAGGCCATGTGCTGAGCTTAAAAACAAGGGCTGCCTTCAGCTAAACCCACTAAGCCAAGATCTGAGAAACTCCCACGGGATGTGCATGCTGGTCTGTGCAAACCATCCTAGATTCCTTCCCAGAAGAGAGAGAGAGAGAGAGAGAGAGAGAGAGAGAGAGAGAGAGAGAGAGTCTTATTCTAATTTTTGGTTGTTTTTGTCACTCCTGGCAAGAAAAAGCTGACCAACTTGGAAGGGGGGGGGAACAGAGGTCATCTGGACAGCCCTCCCCTTCTGCTAAGGTCTGATGTGCTCAGCAAGGCAAGTCTATAAGAAACAACAGTCTCATCTCAAACCCACATCTGGCTAGGATCCGCTTAACCGAGCATTCACACGCTAGGTTGGCTTTTCCTGGCAAGGGAGGTTGCTGGGGGGGAGAGATGCCTTGAGATCCCCCCCCTCATTCCAAGGAGGCAGAACCACCCGCCCCCGCCCCCAAATAAACATCAGGCACAACCTCAGCAGCCCCGGGGCCTCTTGCTCCATTCCAGCTGCGGGCGGGTGGGGGGGGGAGCGGGCGGGAGCAGATCAGAGGGGTGCCAAACGGCCCGTCCGAAGGGGGGTGTGTCACATTGCCCCCTCGCCCTTCCCCGGCCCAAGTGGGCGGGACCCCAAATCCGGACCCGATTGGGGGGGGTTCACAAAGTCCCTCTTGCGACCCTCCCAGCGGTTGGTGATGGTGGGGATGCTGGAAACTGCGCCCCCCAATGGGACTTAACTCTTCGCCACGGGTGGAATTGGGGAAGGGGTGTCGGTGCAGCTGAGCCCCTGCAAAGGGGAGACCCCCCTCCACTCGCGTCTCCCACCCGGGGACGCCCCACCAAACCTTGCCGGAGCCCTTCCCTGCCCCGCGCCCGGCCAACTTCGGCGCAGACGCCCCTTCCCCAGCCCAGCCCAGCCCGGTTGGAGAGACTCACCTCCACCCCCGGGCATCGCTTTTCGGGGTTGCCCGGCCCGCCGGCAGGCCCCTCGCTCGGCAGCCGCTGCCCCGGCCGCTCCTCCGCCGGCAGCCCCGGGCGCGCAGTGCGGCCGCCTCCCCCGCTTCCAGCCAGGGCGGGCCAGGTGCCGCCGCCTCCTCCTCCTCCTCCTCCTCCTGCCGCCCCCGCGGGCTAGCGGGACCCCCTCGGCGGGGCTGGGCGGCCGTCGGGGCTCGCCTGCCCGGAGGGCTCCATGCACGGAGGCAGCGCCCTGCAGCTGCAAGCCCGCCGCTTCCTCCGCCCTCTCCTCCTCCTCCTCCGCTGCTGGGGCTCTTGCTGCAGCGGCAACGGCGGCGACCGGTTTGACAGCTCGGGCTGGACGGCGGTGGCGGCTCCCACTTCCTCCTGCTTTGCGCGCATTCCCGCTTTGCGGCCGCCGCCGCCGCCGCCGCGAGCGCAGCAGGGTCGTTCCAGCTGCGCCCGGGAAGCGGCGGCGGCGGCCCTCTGGCGGCCCCTGCTGGCCGCCGCGCGAAACTGCAGCTGCGCTTCACCCCCAGCTCTAAAGCCACCGCGCCCCCCCTTCTCCCTCCAAGATTTGGGGGTCCCGTGGAAAGGTGGAGGGGAAGGTTGCACACTCATTCGCGCACACACTTATTCACATTCACATTCACCACACACGCAAACACAGTCGGCCGGCCGGGATACATGCTCTGCCCCTCCCAGGGCTGGGAGTGATGGGAGGCGGGCTTCTCTGCACATCTGGAGAAGGCGGATTTGCCAAGGCGCAAAATTGCAGCTGCGCTCGACTCCAGCCCCCCCATCTGGATTTGGGAAAGGTGAGGAAGGGGAAAAGAGGATAGAAAAGGGTGCATACACACATAAGGTCGGGATACTTGCTATGCCCCTCCCAGGGTTGGGGATGATGGAAGGGGGTCTTCTCTGCACATCTGGAGAAGGCAGCTGTGCCTGGAAGGAGAGGAACATATGGGTTGGCTCCTGCTAAGCCCTCAGCATCTTTCTCTGTTCTCAATTGCTGGATCCCCTGACGGAACCTGGGTTTGTTTGGATGTGGGTTTAGAGATAAACCACAATTGGCAGGATTTATGGAGGCACTTTTAAGGTCAAGGGGAAAATAAAGGTTGCCCCTGCTGCTGGGGTTAGAATTGAGCCTTTCACACGTGCAACCAGGAGAAGTCTTAAAAGCTTACTGAGAAAGGAATCTTTAGTGCAGGAATCTTGGGACAGGAAAAATCAGATATTTTCTACATTTTTTGCTAGGAAACCTAACATGGGCTTTAATGGGGAAGGGGATTCTCAGGATCTGCAAGGGGCAGGGGGGGGAAGAGAGTTATGGACAGGAAACCAAAACCCGAATTCATGACTCAGCTTCCTGAATTACCCCGCTGATAATAAAAGCAGCCAGCGATGAAGTGAGTTTGTCAGGAGTAAATTTAAGGCCGAAATGAACCACGGAGAGATAATAGCCTGTCTGAAATTGGAAACCAGAAAGGTACATCAATTATCCCCGGGAAGATTAGTTTGGCTGCAGAATCAGAGAAAGATACATGGCTTTGAATAAAAAATAAAAGGCAGCAATTGGCTGCAAATGAACGCCGATCAATCTAGAGAAATTCTTTGCAGGCTAGCATTTCATTTGGAACCCAGGTGGTAACTCGCCTGCCCTTTCCCTGCTGGCTGTTTTTATTATTCTTGGGAATACAGAAAACAAGGGAAGCTTCTACGACTCTTCCAGAATTTTCTTTTCTTTAGGACTTGGTGTAATTGGATTGTGCAGGCCTAACCAGTTCTTGAATGTTTAATGGGAAAATAACTTGCCTGAAGCCAAAGGGTCTGTCTCGCAATTTGGAAATCACGCTCTTTGAAAGGCTAAAATAAAAACCGACTGGTTTGCAATACTTCTCCAGGGAATGTTGAGAAATTACAAATTCTATACAATACGTGTATTTTCCAAGGTTTAATGGAAAACATGGCTGGCTGGGGAATTCTGGGAATTGAAGTCCACCCATCTTCCAAGTGGTCAAGAAAAAGGAGAGTGGATAAAAATGAAAGAGACGCAACTTGTTAAACAAAGACAGATCACACAAGGAATATTCATGCTTGCCTCTTTCAAATTTTTAACTTTTATATATTTTTACATTTTAATACTTTATTGTACACCGCCCAGAGTGTGAGGGAGATGGGGAGTTTAAAAATTAGATAGATAGATAGATAGATAGATAGATGATAGATAGATAGATAGATAGATAGATAGATAGATAGATAGATAGATAGATAGATAGATAGATAGATAGATAGATAGATCCAGTTGGACACACTGGAAAATCTTTATCCATTATGGCAACTGTGCGTGCACAATTACCTGGAGTTCAAACTGTGATGGAAAAGGCAAGAAGGAGGCAAAAGAGGCTTTAAAAACAACAGTTAAGCAACTTCAGTTTAGACACTTAATTTTAATTCATATTTCCGCGATAAAGCATGCCAAATAAAAGCTAGTGGTTTAAAAAAGAGAACTTCTGATCTCTCTCAAACTCCCTGGAATGCAATGAGATGGATACTGCAATAGTTTTTTTCCCAACTTTCTTGATTTGTTGGTAACACTGCACTGTAACGTGGCAAAGGAGCTTAGGAAAAGAAGATGCAGTTTTGAATTTTAAGCTAAGAAATGTTTCCTTGCAGCTCACTTCCTCGGAAAAAGGCTGTGCGTCCTGTTAGCATCGATTTAAAAAGTCCCCACTTTGTACGTACGTACGTACTTCACACGACAGGCTTGGCTTTGAACCTCTAAAAGTGATGAGCACCATCAAATCAATCACAACACGATAAACGTCTCAAAAAAAACAAAAACGAGCTGCCCTCTCAGTGTCTCTAGGCTTACAAAGAATTCAGGTCTGCCGTTTTTCGAAAATACCCTGCGTCTTCAAAAGTAGCAAAATACAAAAAAACCCGACAGATCGACTCCTTTCGGTATAAAAAAAAAATAGGGTTTTGTTTTTTTTAAAATACGTGGCTCAGTACAAAATATCCGGGGGGGGGGGGGAATTGTGTAAAGAGGACATGATTGCAAAAAGGCAGGGGTAGGTTTAGAAAAATACAAAACCGGTTTGCATAATTATTGTACTTTAGTGCAAATAAAGGGGTACGTGTCTTAAAAGTCGGGTCCTCTCAAATGTTTGCGGAGGTGCGTAAAATCTGGAACCTCTTCAGGGTCATACGGATGGATCCCAATTCTCGATTAATTCTTTCCAGGCGATCCTCCAGAGCTTCCTGAGAGGGTTATTCGGGCAGGGCATTCAGGATCCAGAGAGAATCAGAAAGAAAAAAACCTGTGATGATTCTGGAAATTGACATTTGCGGCTTGTCTTTTACGCGCGTGATGCATTTTGTGATCTGGATGAAATCATGGTCTGCTGCGGACAGCCTGAGATCCAACTGTTCAGCCTGAAAGAACTACAGGTAGTTCGATGATGCAACAGCACTGGAAAAAGGCATCTGCAGACCGTCCTCACACTTACGACCGTCACAGCATTCCCCCCCCCGGGTCACATGATCAAAATTCAGGTGCTCAGCCACGGCTATTTACCAGGATTGCAGCATGCCAGGATTGTGGTGTCAAACGGGGGAAGCCAGCTTCGCTTAACGCCCGTGTTAATTCACTCAACAAAGGTGATTATTTTATTTCCCGCCCAAAGTCGCTGGAATGTGATGGGTGACAAATACATTTTATAAATAAATATTATAAATTTTTCACGTAACCAAAAAGGCTGTAAAATCGGGTGTGGCTTGCTTAGCAGTGGATATTCTGGTCCCCCAATTGTGGTCATAAATCAAGGACTACCTGCACGCACACACAGACACACAAACAGGCGCACCCTTAATCCCGCAGACACAACAAGAATTGTAACCTGATTCAGCCGGGCCTGTAGCGTCATCCTTCCTCCGGCGCAAGGAATTCGGCTCAGCTGGGACTCAATCTATCGGCACAGAAAGATCAGGAAAGAGGGAACGCTTTAACGAAACGGGAAGAAGAACCCCACAAAGAAATAAAAACTGCCCACAAAAAAAGCAGGCAATCTTTTTCCAGTTCAGTGGATCTGGCCAGTTTCTCAACCTTTACAACTTTATGACGTGTGGGTTTCAACTCCCAGAATTCTCCAGCCAGCCATGTTTGAACCGTGGATTCGCTGCGTGTTTGCCACACTTCCGTGGGGAAATTACCTCTAAGCTGACCCTGGAAATGGTGCCGAGATGAATTTCAGATTATTCAGGCATTTCTGATGATTCACCCCAATGTTGGGTAGCCAGTTTGGTCTAGTTGTTAAGTTCAAATCCCACCTTAACCGTGAAAGCTGGCTGGGTGACCTTGGGCCAATCACCAGGAGACTGTGAGTTCTAGTCCTGCCTTAGGCACAAAAGCCGGCTGGGTGATCTTGGGCTAATCCTTCTCTGTCAGCCCAACTCACCCCACAGGGTTGTTGTTATGGGGAAAATAGGAGAAGGATGACAGGTGGAAGATGTTTGCCGACTTGAGAGATTTGTAGAAATAATAAAGGCAAGATGCAAATAATAAATGCATCATAAAAAAAAACTCTTAACGCCCCTAGCAAAGGTGATGTGGATCTCTCTGAAGGAAGGGGAGAGGGGAGAGAAGCCCAAACGCTTCACCTTTACCTGTTGCTTTTCTTGAGTCAGCTCGTCAAACAGCCTCTCGGTCTCTGCCAAGGTCCTAATCCTGGAAACGTACTTGAACTGGGGCTCGTAAGGAGCCGGAGGGGCCGAAGACGATCCCGACTCGCTGCTGGTGGCAGAGCGGCCCTCTTCGTAACCTTCCCGTGAGGAATCTCTGTTTGCTCGGGAACGCAGAGGTTGTGCGTAGGAGGAAGACTTGGAACCTCTGCGGCTTTCTGGGCAACTGGGCTGCAGTCCTGTTTCCACACACACACCCAAAACAAAGAGAGAAAGGGGAGACCTGATTATAAATCAGCCACGAAATCACATTCAGACGACAGACTTGCCTCCAGAAATTGTGAGCGCCCCAACCCTGGAGTTTTTTAAAGAGATTGGACAGCCGTTTGTCTGAAATGTTATAGGGTTTCCTGATCAAGCAGGAGGTTGGACTAGAAGACCTCTGAGGTCCCTTCCAACTCTGTTCTTCTGTTTTACTTCCATAATGTCGGCAAAGCCTCTGAGCCCATCTGGAATTGGGGGGAGGATCCCAGCATCCATGCAGACCGTGGCCTTCCGCAAAGGGGTCAAAATTTGGCTCTGCAGCTTTGCGTGGGGGGCATAGAGGAGCCCACAACATGGGGCCGGCTAATCCCCGTGAGAGCCTCTAATAACCGCTCAATGGCCATCTTGAGATTTTTTTTTACCCTTTTGAAGTTTGTACGGTTGTTATTCTACATTTTTTAAAAAACCCTAACTTAATTTTAATATTAATTTTTCATAGTTTGTTTCATTTTATCCGTCGTATTATCTTGTACACCGCCCAGAGCCCCTCTTGGAGGTAGACAGGCGGTCTAGAAACATGAAACACGAATAAACAAAGAAAGACAGCCGCCTCTCAGCAATCCAGACCGAAAGAGGTTCAGGAATGATCAGCAGCTTTCGAGGAATTCGAACGGCAGAGGGTCCCACCTGCTGCAGAATTTACCTTCTGTATCGTCTCCTGAGCAAAACTGAAGCCTTTTCCGTGGGCTGCCGTAGTGCAGAGCGGGCCCAGCGACAACGTCATCCAGACGGATATCAAATCTAGCGTAGAAAAGAAGAAAGTTCCATGCAAGGAGACTTGCATTTCTCCCCCCCCCCTCTCTTCCCAAGGGTGTGCTGCTAAAATTTATATTTTTCTTCCTGCCAATACTGAATAAATACAGGTGATCCTCAACTCACAAGAGTTTGTTTAGTGACCGTTCAAAGTTACAACGGCCCTGGAAAAAAAAGGGATATGACACTTACGACCGCTGCAGGATCCCCACGGTCACGTAAGCAAAATCCAGACTGACTCACATTTACGACGGTTGCATTTGTCCCGGGGTCCCATGATCCCCTTTTGCGACTTTCTAACATGCAAAGTCAATGGGGAAGCCAGATTCACTTAACAGCCATGTTGCTCGCTTAACAACGGCACTGATTCGCTTAACAAAGGAGACAAGGTCGTAAAACGGGGCAAAATTCGCCCAGCAAGTCTCTCACTTAGTGACATAAGCGTGGGGCTCAATTTCTGGTGGTAAATTGAGGAATGTCTGTGTAGTAAGGTTCCAGAGGCCATTTCCTATCAATTCGAGAGAGCACGAACTAAATTGGAAAGTCGACCAAAACAGCCAGAAGACCTAATTGCTGCCGGCTCGTCGGGGAATCCATACCTGGTCACAGCGTCTTCGTTTCTGCTGAGAAAGTGGCTGAAACCCGGGGACAGATTTTCTTTGGGGGAGCGCTTGGGGCTGTAGGTCACGGCCACCGGAGTCAACATGGTCTCCCGCTTGGCTGCCGAGAGAAAGCAGGCAGAGAAGACGTCAAGAGCGAAGAATCGGGACCGTAGGTTAAATTGCAGCTCAGAAGACTTATTGCTCACGCTTACAGACTCGAGGCAACTGAAGTTCGATCTTAGATTGGCACCAGAGAAAGGTCAACGTAATTCAGGAAGGGTTGAACTTGGACCGTTTGTGGCAGCGTAACGATTCTAGGCTCATGACTTGCTTGCCCCCCCCCCCGCTCTCCTGCTCTTCTCCTATAGAAGGCACCCCAAGCTTAGTTATCTGGCATTCACACACACCCTTTGAGACAAAGGCATGCTGCTCAAGGTCTTGGTTCAGAGGGTTTTCTGTCCAAGTGAGATCGACATGGGGTGGGCTTTTGGGGGTGTTACTGAACCCCACTTCCCATCACTGGGATAGTAAGGGGCAACAGAAGTCGCAGTCCATTAGTATCAAGAGGGCTGCCAGGGATGTCTGCGGGTCAGGGTTAAAAAAACCTCAAGATGCACAGGTGAAAAAAAACACAACAAAACAAATGGAGACTTGATTGCATCATCTTTCCATTTTTTGGACCATAACTTGCGGGCATGCTGGCTGGGGAATTCTGGGAATTGAAGTCCACATGACTTAAAGTGGTCAAGGTTACCCCCCCACACACATACTAAATTAGACAATCCAAAATTTTTACTTGGCGTATTTGTCTTCCTGTTTGAAGGTGGGAGCGATGAAGATCGCTGGGACGAGTTGAATTTTTTGTGCCTCGGATGCTCTTTGCTCTTCTCGGGCGAACGGCTCATATCCAAGGATGTCTCAGTGAACCCCACAACCGGACACCGAACAAGTGTTTCTGAAATAAGCAAAGGCAGCAGAGAGGGTTTTCCTTCAGGAAGGTATCTGGGCCCTTTTTCCTACCGTGGGGAAATGCTGAAAGCAATTTTCGTTATCTATGCCTATGGGATGTACATAGAGACACATGGTGAAGGTAACAACCCCCCAAAAATATTGAAAGAAGTGAAATGAAATTGTGGACTCGCTGAATATTAGCTGCAATGTGTCTCCCATGTCTGCATATCTTATTAAAAAAGCCTTGTGCTCTACATCAGAGGTCCCCAACCTTTTGGACACCAGGGACCGGTTATGTGGAGAGTTTCTTCCGCAGACCGGAGGGAGCGTGGTTTTGTGTGCTGCCCGCATCCTGCGGCTGGGGCTTTGCTTCTTTGCGCGGCCCGGTTGCTGGCATGCTGCGGCCCGGTACCGGTCCACAGACCGGGGGTTGGGGACCCCTGCTCTACATAGAGTTATCTTTTCATCTAAATCCAAGCCGGCACAATTTTCCCATAGAAGGAATATTTTTTATTTCTGTAGGAACAATTCTAATAAACGAATCAAAATTGACTTACTGTTGGTCTCTGCTCTGGCCTCTTCCTCTTTCTCTACCTGGGTGCCTCGGTTCTTCAAAGCCTTCCTTTCCTCAAATTCTTTAAAGGCCTTGAGGATGGGGATCTCTTGGGTTTTGATCTCTTTCTGAATGGCTTCGTTGGTGAGGAGACAATTTGGAGAGGGATCCTTCTCTGGAGGAGAGTGACGCCTAGAAATATGCAGGAAAGCCCAGCCTGTTCATCTCACGGCTGGTCAGAGCAAGTGTTTCCTTTTCCCAGATTCAAACCAGATTACATTATTGGAAGGTAACCCTCACAGTAACCTATGGGAGGTTGGGGTGGTTTTTTTGGTAATCCAAGTAACTTAGTCTGGAATGTATTCTTTGTAGACAGGAAGTAAAATATTGCTTACCGAAGAGAGGTGAACTCTTTTTCAAGCCGGTTGTCGATGGGACTTCCTTGAGCTGCCAAAGGCTGACCGGTAAAGATTGAAAATTCAGATCCTGGGATCAGCCACTTCCTTCTGCTCACATCAAAGCTTTCTAATTTGCTGAGAGGACAGAGAGAAGCAGGGAATAACGAAGAACTAAAACGGAGGATGTAACATTTCATGCTTTCAAATGAAAAAGCAGACTTTATTAGGCGCTATTTTCAGGATTCTGGCAAAGCAGTACAGGCAGTCCTTGACTTACAACCAAAACTAAGCCCAAACTTTTGGTTGCTAAGCGAGACAGTTGTTAAGGCAGTTTCCCCCCATTTTACCACCTTCTGAAGAACAGTGGCTCTTCTGCACATCACACTAGGTGAACCCACGATCCTTTTTCATCCTTCTTAAAATTACAGTAGCCTTTGTGTGTGTGTGTGTGTGTGTGGCTTTCTCACCCTGACACAATCCTTACTTGCTAACCTGGCGTAGGATGGTCCAAAGTGTCCCTCGGCAAGGGAACGAAATTTGAGTGAGTTTTCATGTTCTAATTGCTTGACCTGAGTTTCCAGTTTCGAGACTGTTCTAGAGGAGAAAAAGAACAAGGATCAATTTTAGCCGTGTTAATGCTGCGTATGATCCCAGTTTTTGTGGCTAGAATAGACGACTCATTTTCTAAAAGCTGTTGGGAAACCTCCGGGCTGGGTTGGATCATGTTTCCCTATTTGGCGACCAAGATCTAAAGCTCGACAGTTCTGGAAAATAACAGAATAACAGAGTTGGAAGGGACCTTGGAGGTCTTCTAGTCCAACCCCCTGCTCAGGCAGGAAATAGTATACATTGGAATGAAACAAAGGTTCAAAGTTGGATGTCTTTTTCAACTTGCAATCTTTTTTTTTATTAAACTTTTATTTAAAGGTCTATTCCCAGAGTTTTAGGGACTAGCTCTTTGGTAGATTTGATTCAGCAACTGCCTGGTTAACATATTGATGAAATATGCTAATAAACATGCTATTAAAAATAGAAACATTGGAGAGGCTTTGGAACTTTTCTTGCTTTTCTAGGATTAAAGGGTTCAATATTACCTCTTCAAATCAGAAATCTGAGTGTGCGCATCGAGTAATTTGTTCTCAGTAATATTCAAAGAATCCTGTGGGGGAGAGAAAAAAACACATTAAGGGTAACACAACCACTGATTTTAGGAACACCAAATGATTTAAGTGTTTCTCTTTCATCAGCTGATCATTAATTCAACTTGTCTTCAGCTTCCCTGAAGAAAAAAAAGCTTTGCTAAGGCTTCTCTTCGTTTGTCCTTGGCAAATAATTCATCATATATTCAGAACCCATCAGGAGGGTTCCATTCTCCAGCCACGGCTGGTTAACCTCATGCCTTTCTTGAGGTGGATGTCTCACTATCTGCTTGAACAGTTTTCTGTTTCCAAGTTCCCTTGTTTCTAAATTCTTTTGGCAGAGGTCCACTTAGCTGGCTGCTGTCCACTGTTTCAGATACAGGACAGCCTGAGTGATTTAAATAAATGTACAGAAGATCTGACGTGTGACAAATTCAGCTGACAGGACTGGACTTTTCATCCCTCCTAAGGACAAACATTTTTGTGGACAAAAAGCTTATTTCTGGGGGAAATAAATACACCTGCTTTTACTCACGATCAAGGAACCGCTAAAGCCCATTTGGTTTTGGATCCCCTTCCCCTAAAAATGGACTCAGTTCCGCAAAAAAAAAAAAAAAAAAAAACCCTGCTGCTTACCTTAACTCGTTCATGCTCCTTCCCAAGCGATTCGTATTCTCCCAAAAGCTACCAAGAAAGTAACGTTTTTATTATTGATTCGTAAGATTTCAAACCGTCTAGATAGAATAAAAAATCTAACTGGCACAAATCACAGCATCCGGTACAGCCATCAAATCAGGATTTCGGCAAATTCTACCTTTTATGATTGTGACTTCTTTCTAGTTGGCATTTAAGAAAAAAAAAATCCTTCAGTCTTATTATCGGTCCGTTAGCACAGAGTGTAAGTTAAGAAGCAGTTATTTAATAAGGGGGGGGGAGACTGAAATGAATTTGAGCTAGCAGGAAGAGCAAAGACCTGTTTTATCCATGGGTGAAAAGTCTCTACTCAGCTATCTCCAGTTCAACAGGATAACTCCACAATTATTCTTAAGGTCAAAATGTCCTGTTTTAATCTCTCTTTTTTTAAAAAAGAGACACAGGCCTTTTCTTCATAGATAGCCAAATGATCAACAGTGCTACCCTGGCTTTCTGTGGCTATAGAAAAAGACTTGGTCCGTAACAATTGAAGACTTGGTCCGTAACAATTGAAGACTTGGTCCGTAACAATTTTGAGGAAGTTCTTGACAATTCGCAACACCCACATTCCAAACTGGGCGAGTCTGGTGTCCCCCAACTTACATTTTGAAACATCTTATTCTCTTCCTTTAACCGGGCGTCCTTGTTATCAGAGAGCTTGTAGGCTTTCTCAAAGGCCTCTTCCAGATCTTTGAGTCTTCTCTTGAGGCGGCTGATGGTGTTGTCTTTGTCCTTGCTACTCGTGCGCATTTGTTCGATGCGCTCCTGCAAGGACTTGGTGCTGTTGCTGATGGCACTGAAGCGCTCACGCCAATCTGTCTGGAAGGTGAACAGGCCGAGAGTTGGAAGGGACCTTGGAGGTCTTCTAGTCCAACCCCCTGCTCAGGCAGGAGACCCTGTACCATTTCAGACCAATGGCTGTCCAGTCTCTTCCTAAAAAACCTGTGATGGAGGACTCACAGCTTCTGAAGGCAAGCTGCTCCATGACTACATTGAGACTGTAAGCAGGACAAACCGTCACATCGGAAAGAATAACATGCAGATTTCAGCCAGCCTGTTTTTCATTGGGGTCACGCCAAAGTAGAACAAATTCTTCTTCATTTTTATTAAGTTCCATTAATTTAGCAGCAATAAAGTTCCTCAACCTTAGCAACTTTTAAGAAGGGTGAACTTCAACCCCCAGAATTCTGGCTGGCTGGGGAATTCTGGGCGTTGGAAGTCCACGTATATGAAAGTTGTTAAGGTTGAGGAATTCTATAAAATGAAGAAGAATTTGATCTACTTGAGTGTGACTCAGCCCGAGAAAATCTCGTATACTTCTAGGCTGCGCACTCCTGGGAACACAACACAAGACTTCAGGGTGTACTTCCCAGGCTTCTGTTCCCAGATACCAAGCCACTTCATTCACAGAAAATTGTTCTTCCTCTTCTCCCCAAATGTGGGAGTCCTCGGTGCCCTTGACCAAGACATGACCATATTTTGGCCCTCTCGGTCTTCCTTCCTACCCTTCCCTGCCAGTTCACGACCATAAAGAGACGTCTGAAATGATGCCCAGCACATTTTTAATAATTTGTTTTTTCATTATAGCTGGACTACTCCATCCACTTACTACTTCCATCTCTAAGGCCTTGTTTTTATTTTCGAGGGATCGCACACGGCTGTTGGCTTCGTGCAGAGCAGCTTCTAGCTGGTCACACCTAAAAATTCAAATAGAAAGCCATTAAGTATAAAACAATATATGGTATTATTCATATTTTTAGGTGAACTGCTTCGCTGGATCGATGACCAGAGGCCAACACTTCCAGAAATGTATTACAAGTAATCCTTGAGTTATAAGCAATCATTTGGTGACTGCTTGAAGTTACAAGATCCCTGAAAAAAAGGGACTTGTGACAGTTACAAGGTCATAAATTCATAAATATGAATCAGCTGCCAAGCGTCTGAATTTTGATCTGCAACTGTCATGAACCACTTTTTAAAATAAATATGACGGTTGCAGTGTCCCGTGGTCATGTGATCCTTTGGTGACTTTCAAGAAAGGCTGTAAAACGTCCCTTAACAGATGTCACTTAACAAATGTCCCACCTCATTGTGGTCATAAGTCAAGGATTACCTTTATTCTTCCCTGCTCACAAGTGAAGCAGTGAGTTACTATGGGGAGAATTCGCAGAGCAACAATCTATTTGAAGTACAGCGGCCCTTTCTGTTTTGCTCACAACTTATCCTTCATTAAAACAAATAACACAAAGAGATTCCCTAAACGGCCACTTGATTTTCAGCTGTCCAAACTGGAGCCAGGAAGGTTCAGAAACAGTTTTATCCAGGCAGAATTATTTCAAAAATGATGAAAAAAAAGAAAGAAAGATACGGACATTATTCCAAGCAACTCAGCCAATACCTGTCCGTAAGATTTTGATTGATTTTCTTCATTTCTTCAGAAGGAGAGGTATGGCTTGCTTCTAACTGCTGCTTTAAATTGAGAATTTCGGACTCGTAATACGCTCGGAGATCAGCTATGTGCCGGATGTGTTTTTCCCTCAAATTCTGCCTAATCCTGATTTTTAAAAATAGTAATAAAAAAAGAACAAAACATTTAAAAGCTTAGCAACTTTGTTGGACACTGTTTCTGAAGAAGAAAACTGGGATTCTCTTACTTGGAGAGGACCAGGGGATCTTCTACGCAAGCAAGCGAAAGTTTGTGCTGCGTCAAAGGATTCTCAGCAGAAGGAATCGGGTGCCGTACCACCGAAGACGGCGTGAGGGTTAAGTTCTCGTTGTCCTCCATGTCTAAAAGCTCGTCATTTGGATGATGAGAGCCGGTGACGTTGGCTGCGTTCTCAAACTCACAGCTGCCCCAGGAATCTGCATGCAAGGCTGCCGAGCAATAGGTGTATCGGGGAGACTCGGCGGAGCGAGGGGATACCACGGTGCTCGTGTGGGAAAACGAATCCACCTCTGAAGGAAGGGAAAAACCCACAGGATCTGCCATGGAATCTGGAGACAAGGGAGCTTGCTCTGGGCTGGCGTAGAACCTGGGCAGACGCCGTCCCGTGTTCAGCTCACCTGGTTTCATGTGGAGCGTTGGGTCGAGGGTCAGGATCTGCCAAATAAACGTCATGGTGATTGAAGTGAAAAAAACAAACAAACCAAGACCCAATTAAGGGCAAATTAGTTGCTTCGAGATGATTGTGGTGTGGAAGGAGATGCTTGAGGGTCCCTTGGATAGTAATAAGATCCAATCAGTCAATCCTCAAGGAAACCAATCCTGTCCTTTGGAAGGATAGAGATTGAAGCTGAGAGTGAAGAATCGTAATAGGAGAACAAATCCATCAAGACAAGAGTCAGCAGTCCATCTGCATTTAAAGGACGAAGGCCACTCTCTGGAAGTCCACATTCTGGACAGAGAGGACCCTGATTTGAAAGAGGGGTCGAAGAGGCCATCTAGGTCAAAATTGAACAGCCTTCTCTCAACAGAGGGGGAGGGATACAATACCACCTATCCCCTATTTACAACACAGTCCCTTTAGCAGTTCCAAGAAGGCTCCACGCCGATTTGCACTGTTCAGGTTGACCCCAAGGACCCAGATAAGCCTCCAAGTGGCCTCAAGGACTCTCAAAAAGAGCACTAATGACCAGATGACTGCAAGGAATATAAACCCGTCCATTCCCCACCATTCAGTCAGAACTGAAGAAGCTTCAGTCCAGTCCAAGAAAGTCCAGTTGCCTCTTGAAAAAGCACCTTTGGGACCATCAGCTAATAGATTAATCACAATTAAGGATTGTGATTAGTCTGGGGGGTCTGGAAAAGCATGACCAGTTGTTAAGTGCAAGAAAGGAGGGACATTTTCAAGGCAACAGGCAGAACTAAAATGCGAGTTATTACCTCTGGGGGATGAGTTGAGTGCAGGGGGGTGAAATTCCACTCTACAAGTGGCTTATCTTCCTTCTGTTTCTTATGATAAATATCCTTTAAGGATGTAGGCTTCAGTTCGTCGCTGGAAGACAGCTAAGGGGAAAGAATTCAGATTGAGAGTGTAAGCTTTTATTTCATATAATGATGAACCATATTTTTAGATGGGAATACAGAGTGTTTTGGGAAGAGAGGCAAATAGGATAATTCCAGGAACAGGACACCAGTCACTATAAGGCAGTATTTCTCTACCTCGGCAACTTTCAGATGGGTGAACTTCAACTCCCAGAATTCCACAGCTGGCTGGGGAAGTCTGGGAGATGAAGTCCACCCATCTTAAAGTTGCCAAGGTAGAGAAACATGGCTATATGGCAAAAGTAGAGCTTGGAACACATAGCAGCTTAATGCCATAAGGGGAGAGCAGAATTGTTGTCACACATTAAACACACACGTTGTCACCCTTCATGTGTTAAATAATGAGCAAGCAGCACCAGCCAACAGAGGGAAGAGAGACCAAAAAAAAAAAAAAACATTCAGCAAAACAGGAAAAAAAAAGTTAGCAAATACCTGTTCTGAAGAAGCCTTTGTTGAGAACGTAAGGAATTCATTTCCCAAATTCTTAGGCAACGCTCGATACATCTCCTTCTCATCTAATTTCCAATAGGTCAGCCCTGTAGTATAAAATAGGCATCTCAGAACTGATTTAAGGATAGCAAAGAGCTGGGATATCATTTTAAAAGAAAAATATAGTGAGGTAAAGTTTGGGGCTTTAGGGAAGACGTGTGGCTGAAACATTAGTTTAACACCCGCAGGGTTTGACAAGCAATAAAAGTAAAGAGAGCGTGTTAATTCTGCAGAGAGCTCTGAGGGGATCAGTGCCAACGAAAGAACATTTGTCCTTTACAATATTTCAACCTGGAAGGTGGTCCTTACCCTGAGACTCCCTCCCTCCCTCCTTCCTTCTAGTTAAAAGAGTCTTCTCTGTATTCAAACAGAATAAATTTGATTAAAGCCTCGGTTTTAATCAGCTGCATCAGAATCTCTGCTCATCGGAAGTAAGAGGGTCAAAGCTAAACAAAGAAATATAGGTAGTCCTTGACTTACAGCCGTTCATGTGTTCAAAGTCACAACGGCATTGAAAAAAAGGACCTTTTTTTTTACATTTACGGCCGTGCTGACATGATCAAAATTCAGCCACCTGGAAACTGGTTCACATTTATGACGGTGGCAGCGTCCCAGGGTGTCACGTGATCCCCTTTTGCAACCTTCTGACAAGCAAAGTGTCAATGGGGATTCACTTAACCGTGTGATAACTTAACAACCACCCACCAAATTGGATTCCCAATTGCAGATGGGCTTTGCTTACTCTTTAGCTTACACTCTGCCACTATTTCAAGAAAGAACCCTGAAAATGAAGAGAACGGCTATCTCAGCTAGAATGATCCCCTCTGTTACAAATGCGCCATGCTCACAAGAGGTACAGAGGAATAAATCTGGAAGCTACTGTACCTGAAGAAAGAGAGACCAAAGAATTTTGGCTTCCACTTTGCTGATTGAGGTAAAACGGAGTGGTGGATGGCGCAGCAGCAGCAGCAGCGATGTCATCGGTCTGTAATTCCACAGAACGGGGAAGAGAAAAACCACAGATTTATTGTAAAAAAAAAAAACCCACCCTAAAACACGATCTCCCTCACTGAAGGCCAAAAAAAGAGTCATTTGCCCCAGCAATCTGAGAAAAGTATATTTTGTCACAGGAGTAATCCCATCAAATTCCATAGTGCCACCCACAGTCACTTCGAAATAAGATGGGCAAAAATCTTAATAAATAAATAAAAAGTGTAGGCTTCCGAGGCTGTAGGCTGAGCTCGTCTATTATTCCCAACTAAGCCCAAGAACGGACATTTTGGCTAGGATTGAACGAAAGGCACCAGGGTTGACATACACAGAAAGGGCTTTAAGGCCTGCCAATCTTAAGTAGGATCATTACAGGCCGCAAAGAAAACCCTCCCTCTGAATGTAAAAACATCAAATAAAGGAGAAATTCCTATTTTAAAAAAAGCAAAGGGAGGATTGAATATACTGCCTTGGGGCGGGGGTCTCCAATCTTGGCAACTTTTAAGGCTTGTGGACATCAACTCCCAGAATTCCTCAGCCAGCCATGCTGCCTGGGGATTTCTGGGAGTTGGAGTCCACAAATCTTAAAGTTGCCAAGTTAACTGGGCAGGGCAATCCTTGTAACACCAACGTGCTCGCTGGGGGATTCTGGGAGTCAACATCCCCACAGCTTTAAAATTGTGGTCCACGTTCATTCACGGCTGCCACCCCGTTTGGAAGAAAGGATTTCAGCAACTCTTTTACCCTGCCAACGGTTTGCTCTGTTCCCGGTGTGGTCTCCTCTTCCACGCTTGTTTTTTTCACGTGGTTTTGTTTCATCTTTTGAGCCCAGGAGGTTAAAGATTTGCTGCAGAAAAAGAAAACCGAGACACGGCGAATAAAAATAATTGCTTGAGCGCTGCAATTTATACCTTTCTGCAGATGGCAACAGTATAAACAGGAGCTCCGGCCTCCTCTGTAAAACCGCAATGGACCTCTCAGAGCAGGGTCCCAAGCTTGGCAACTTGAAGATGGGTGGACTTCAACTCCCAGGATTCCCCAGTCAGCATTCTGGGAATTCAAATCCAACCTGTCTTAAGCATGCTTGGCTGGGGAATTTTGGGAGAGGAAGCCCACCCGTCTTAAAGTTTCTAAGATTGAGAAACACTAGACTAGACTAAAGAAGCAAATTTCAAAGCTGGTAACTGATCATCTAACTTTAAAGATGAAGCCAACGAACTGAATAGTATCAGCCACTCACCAACTTGGTTCCTCAGGGTGACCTTCGTGAATCGGATGCTCCATCTGAGCGGGGAAATCGCCATCGTTCCCCTTCAGAGGTGGAGAATGTCCTGTTGCGGTTTGCAAACCTTCTCTTTCGTCCTGAATGCTGCCCACAACGGAATCCTCCAGGGCTGGCGCTGGACAGTTCTGCCATTTGGTCATCGTCTCCGAGTTTTCCATGCATGCCTGAAGGTCATCACATTTGCCAGGACTCAGTTCCGCAGTAGATAACGTACCATATCCGCTGCTTACTGAAACACTCTTTGTCAGGCCCTCCTGGTGCATGACTGAAGCCTCTGCCTGGTTGTCAGCATGGCTGGGGTGGAACTGACTGGTAAAGAGCTCGTGTTCTTCAAAAGCGTTGGCCTTCAACCCCATCTGACCTCCTAGCAACGGGCAGCTGTCTGAAAGTCTGATGGAAGAGGCCAGTTTGGGACACGAGCACGTGTTTTTGGTTTGCAGTGTCCCCAAGCGCCTGATTTCATTTTGTATGTGCTGGAAAGAAGAGAAAAAAAGCCCAAACCTTTCATTAAAAAGCAAGGCTTTAATCAAACAGGCAGCATTTCATCAACTGGACGAGAAGAACGTTTTAATCCCGTCCGTAGGACATTTTCACATACACACACAACATGCAGAAATGTGTTATGGTACAGAAATGGAAATACTTAGAAATTTGTTCTACATCTGTTTTTAAAACACATGCATGGACACATTCATGTGGCTTTTCCGAGACAGAATCAGACCTCCAACAGAGAAATATAAAGGGAAAAGAACTCTCAATCTAAGTGGCTTTAAATGAAAGAAGACAATTTGTTGGGCTGGGCTGGCTTGCTTCTTCTCTCAATAAAGAATTACAAGTTAGAAACCTTTCCCCGTTGGACCACAAAGAGTGCTGCTATTTCATAACAAACTCAAGACATAAAATGAAATGCCAATCGGACACAGACAGAGCTTCAGGATTAAGCCAAAAACACTTTAGTCAATGCTCAAATTTGCAACAGGCAATGTTTCTGCACCACACAATTTTCAGAACATCCAACGGTGGGAAATATTATTTGGTAAGTAGCCTCATTTCTCCAATGCAACACGCAACCTCAGACACGTACGTACAGGTGAGTATTCTGCAAGTATGAAGTATGAAAAACGTGGCCAGGAAATAAAAGAAGGAAAAAGACCAATGTACGAAAGGGGAAAAGAGAACTGTAAAACAACAATACCTCAATTATTTGTTTCAATTTCAGGAACAGTTGGTTACTATTAGTGAAGAGGGCCATCAGGAAAGGTAAGGGAAAAACAGTTACCAAAAATGGTGTAAATATTAAAAGGCACTAAATACACACAGACCAAATGTATGAAAACATCTATATTTTCATCTGTAGGAGTTGATGTTCCCAGAAAAATCAGTTAACAGTTTGGTTGAAGAGATTAACAAAGCTATTGGAGGGAATACTTTTATCGACAAAATCCATTTCCAAACAAGTGTGAAAAGACAGCCTGGGTTGACAGGAAGTGTGCATACATACACACACTCACTCAAACCATATGTAACACCGATAGTTTTAATATCTCAAGGCTTCACAAAGAGATGTAAACAGAGGCATACTCTACATACCTTCCTGCCAACTAAGGAGCTATTTTATGCATTTGATAAAATTATAGTAAACAGCATTCCCATCCTTATCAGTTATCTCCCAACTCCCTAGCAATTCCCATCTCACGTTCTTGACAGCCAGACCTTCAGTACAAAGGCAAAATGTAAACTAAATGAAACAACTTACATGTATTTGATGATAAAATAGTTTTTGCTGAGCAACTATCTGTTCTTGGCACTGCCTCTCCACCAGTCTGAACAACTGTAGCCACCTGGTCTGTGGGAAAATACAAGATTCAGCAAAGAAAATAAACATTTTCTTCCTTTATGAAATATAAATTCCATTTGCCCACATCTAGCCTGGCAATTGATTGATCCTCTGTTTGTCTAGAAGCTGTTATCTGATACCTGTATTCAGTATAAGACCTGGAAAAAAGCCCCAAGGCAGAAAGAAAACAAAAAAAACCCCTGAAAATCTGAATCTAGAGAATTATGAAAATCTGAATCTAGAGAATTAGAGTCCTAGCAAAGCATTTAAGATTTCAAGCCTTAACACTGGGAAACAACAAATATTAATTTGTTAACTGACTTTATGTTTATCTTTTTATCTTTTGTAAGGTGCCCAGAGTCGCTTTTAATGGTGAGATGGGCAACATATACATTTAATAAATAAATTAAACTAGGAAGGTGAAGTTAGGCTGCTGTTTGTAATAACGGAGCAACATATGTGGAAAGACTGTTACATACCTCACAATTCTTCAGTATTTTGGGATGACTATTTCTTTGAGCATCTTGCATAAATGAAGCCAACATACTAACCTCTTCAGTTACTGCAGAAGGATCAGCTTTGCCCAAGAAACTGGAGACGACATCTGGGTTGAATAAAGGACTGTCGAACAAATAAAAATATGAATTATTTATTTACTGAAACTCAACTGGGCTTTGCTGACAACACCTGCTTGCTCTGAAGACAATATGGAAAATCTGCAGAGTTTTTCCTAAGTCTTTGGCTGGACTTTGTTAACTTGATTAAAATAAATGACTTGTCAGTAATAAGCAGGTTTTTGGACAAGCTTAGGCAAGATTGTGCTAAAATTCTATTTGAAAAATTGGACTCTGAAAATACTATAGACTTTAAGAAGCGTGATACTGGTTAAATTTCCTACTGACCTGTTGTTACTTATGTTATGATCAAGCGAGTTGTGAGTATTCTTAGAATCAGGGTCCGCTCTTGGTGCTTCTTGCTCTGGATTCACCAATCCCAGGTTTTCCATATCTCATGCTTGCAGAGATTGTGATTATCCTTAAAAAATTAAAATGTGTTTAAAATCTGTAAAAAACAGATTCATTGCTTGGTCTGATCTAACCATTGCACCACTGCGTCCAGCCAATATTTAGAAACATTTATTTCTTTATTAACACATATATTCAGTGTAGTTCTTGGGTAACAGAAAACCATTCTACCTGCCTTATATATCCACAACATTCCAGCCAAATGCTCTTTTACTGCTGCTGTTTCATCCAGGTGGCTAAATCCGAAATAAACTCTGCAATATGAATAAAGAAAAGACAGCTGTGAAGCACCCCTTTATGAAGAAAAAAAGTTATCCATTTCCTAGTACATCATATGCCTGACCTATTTCTTCCCAACCAGTTCTGTGTGCATGAATTATTTGCAGAAAGGCCTTAATTTATTCATGCAGTATTCTTCAAATTTTATCCTCCAAAACAGATTGAATGTGTCCTTTTTAAAATGCAATTAAATGTAGGCACAATTTTAATTAAACACAAATTTAGCTAATATATAAAATATACATATACATACACACATATACAGATATATATATACACATAGACATGCATATACATACACACACATACACTAAATTTCTCTCCTTTTTTAACTCAAAAGGGGTTTATAAGTGCATAATCAAACAGGGTCAGGGCCAGCTGTGCATAAGAGATAAACATTTGCCAAGTCAGTTCGAAATATAAATGGAGGCTGGGAAGACACATATTCAGCTTTATATATTATATTTCTTCCCCCAGACTTGGGTGGGGAGGATGTTCTCTATTTTGTATATTTATTATTTAGGTCTGTTTCCCCTATTACAGACAACTTTTTAAAATCTGCTTTTTAATTCTCAAATATAGCAACATATAACCCAAAATACATTAAACGGTAGATGTTATTTACGGTATTCTCTTTTGATGAAACGGTGAGGAAGTTGCTCTCTTTACCAATAAAGAGAAAATTGCAACTGATCGTGCGCAAAACAATTTCCTGAATTTTTAATCCATCTGGGAAATGACCCCCCACGAAATTGATCCGCTGTTACCTCATTTTTCTTCTTTATCCATATTTCCAATGGAAATAAAGATGTATTTATCCTATTTATTTTTAATATTCAGATTTATCTATCCAGCTCCTGTATCCTCTCAAATTAAAACGAACAAACACAAAATCAGTAAGAATAACCACCACAAACAACATCTGTCTATCACAGAAGCAGGAGAAAGACTTGACAGGTGGATAAAAATGGCAAATCCAACGTAAACAAAGACCCATGATAACGCTATTAAATTTACATCCAGAAGGAACCCCGGCAACTCTTGTGCTCCTTTAGACCTTCTCAAGAACCCTGCGAGGTAGGCCAACCTGGCACCCCGCACTTATTTACTGGCTTCGAGTCCGACCTTTCAACGAGCCCCACCCCTCACCCCTTATTGGCCGAGGCTATAGTGTAAACATCCAGAGCGGCCGGGGATTGGATGATCCGCCCGTCACTCGAGAGGCGGGGGCGTGGCGGGAGGGGGAAACGAGGTCGCCCCTCCCTCCCGTCAGAGGCAGCCGTCCCCGGTCCTCGCGAGGGGTTCCCGCCTCCGCAACCCCGCTTACCTCCCCGTCCGCCCCGCGACCTTCCGCGCCGCTCCCGTCAGGCGAAGGCCGGGCCGCTGGGAAGAAGGCCGGGCCGCGAACTGTCTCCTCCCCTCCGCGGTTGGCGGTTGAGATTCGAAGAAGCGGTTTCAAAGAGAAGACGCCGAAGGCTCGCGACGCGGCTGCGCCGATTGGCTAGCTCCCCAGCCGCCGCGCGACGCTATTGGCCCGAGAAGTCGGGAGGTGGGAGCAGCATCGAAGACGCTATTGGCTCGTGGGGGAACTGTCTCGCTTAGGTCAGCGAGTGAGGGACGAGACGGGGCTTCAGGGGAGCCTCTCTAGGATTGGCTCTTTCGGGGCTCAGGGTGAGGGAGGGACGCATGCGCAGCAGGGTCGGGACTGAGGCCTAGTCGTAGTTAAGTTACCCCGAAGGTAAGTTTGGGTGCCCTCCGCAGTGAGAGCTTGGCCGTCCCGAGAAAAGTATCTCCCTATCCGGCGCTCCCTTCCCTCCGATCTAGAATCCGCTCGTGTCCACTTTCCCTTCGACCTTATCTCGCAATCCCAAGGCCACAACAACCCTACAAGGTAGGCCAGGCGAAGCGAATGAACCCCCAAACCAGCCGGTGGGTGGGAGGGAGAGACTAAGGATTTGAACTCACATTTCTCCACCTCCAGCATTACAGAGGGCCTGCTCTAATTTGTAACTGGAAAGAAGAGAGACACGCACACACCCCAAAAGGAGGGGGCTACCCTGCACAGCCCAGATCCAGGAAAGGAAAAAATGAAGAGCATCAGAAGCCTGATCTGAACTGCAGATCTGCCAGCGGGTGTCGTGTGAAGGCAACCGAAGCAAACACGAGGGTTTGCCAACCCAGCTACTACAGGTAGTCCTCGACTTACAACAGTTTATTTAGTGACCAGTCAGAGTTACGATGGCAAGGGAAAAAATGACTTATGACCGTTTTTACAACCATTGCAGCATCCCTATGGTCACGTGATCAAAATTCAGACACTTGGCAACTGGTTCATACTTATGACGGTTGCAGCGTCCCGGGATCATGTGATCCCCTTTTATGACCGTCCCACAAGCAAAGTCAGTGTGGAAGCCAGATTCTCTTAACAGCTTTGGAAAGAAAGGCCGTAAAATGGGGCAAAACTTACTTAACAACTGTTTCGCTTAGCCATAAGTTTTGGGCTTAATTGTCGTATGTTGAGAACTATCTGTACTTTGCATGTCACCCTGGCAACCAGCAGTGCTGCTTTCCCATAATACGCAGAGCCCATGGCCATGAACAATATTCTACTTTTTCAACATATTTCAACATACAGAGACTGGATCTTCCTTTCCATAATATTCATAAAAGAAAGATGACAGGCTTCGTTTACATGTTGCAGTCTGTTCTGCCATTTAGATAAACATACACAAAGAGTTTGCAAGGGGAAAAAGTAAGGACACCCCTAGTTTATCGCTGCTTCCCAGACTTAAAATTGGGATCAAATGATTAGAATATTGTCCAAGAAGATCTGGGAACTACTTGTCTTATTGAAACCTCTGTCAGGGTTTCAAGCCAAGGCTGTACTTACTTTTCCCACAGAAGGAAATGGCATATCTGTTAATTTTGGGTTGGTCCATGTTTATAGTCTGTTTTGGTCCTTTACCTCCTGTTTGAATGAAGATCAAGTTCTGATCTGACCCTACGTGCTAAAAATTTTTTTTATGGGGTGCCCTTGCTTATTCCCATGACTGTACTTCTGCTTTTAAAAAACCTGGGTCTAAAGAAGAAAAGGTACATTTACTTCTTACCATGATGGATTGGTGGCCAGGCTGTGTTTACTTTGGTAGTTGGTTGCGATGCAGTGGTCCCAGCTGGTTCTGCAGTGATGCAGCCTTTTTCACCCCATCTCATTTATTCCCTTGGCAACTGAAGTGGCAAGCATCGCATTGTGACTTCACTGCAGAGGGTGGGAGATGAGAAATGAAGAAGTTGTCTTGAAAACTACTTTTCATATTTTTATCGTCAGTGCTCGTTGGTCCATTCCCCCCCCCTCTACATCCATGAATCTTCTGAAAAAATTATGCCACTGGAGCGACAGACTATATAATAGCTGGCAAAATGGACAATTCGGTACCAGTGTTGGATGAGATGCCGAATTGGAAATGTTTTGATAGTGTAGCATCTCAGGAACAACCTATTCTCAGTGGCTGGAGCTTCAGCAACGTAATCAAACAGCTTTTTAAAAAGGATTTCTTTTCAGTCAAGACAAAGTTAAGTCGTGGCTTTCAAAGAAGGTACTAAAATCTCAAAACTTGGTTTTGAATCAAATTTTGTTTCAGGGTCCATTACACCCGTATTGCTTATAGTAGAGTATTTTTGTTTGTGTCTTTTAAAGTGCTGACTCAAAAGGTTTTCTGGTTCTGAATTTTGAAAAGTAGATTTTTCTTTCCCCCCCTTTCCCCTTAGAGCCACTACGGTAGGTTTTGGCAGCTTCTTGGAATCCAGTCAGTTGATCTTCTTAGAGCCATTAATTTGCTCTAAGAATAGTAAGAGGAGAAAAAAAGCTGCGGAAAGAAAGCAATGAGCTCACCCACTTCCCTTCCCTGCAGCATGAGTTTGTCCCTTTCTGCTGAGCTGCACACCTGGTGTATTATTTATCGGAGAAAGCTTGAGAAGAGCATGTGCAAAAATAGAAAAGGGACAGACGGAAGGTAGGCGTCAGCAAATTCTGCTGGATTGCAGCCAAAAGGACTTTTGTGCAGGGAGACCAAGGTGCATTTTGGCAGCCATTAAGAGGAGCCAGGTACGATGTATTAGATGGGGAACTTTCTCAGAAGTAGATGTGGTTAAATCACACCAGACATCATAATCTTTTTTTATAGCTGCAGATCCACCCTTTCTACCCTGCCAGTTCTGCAGTTAACCAGACATTCGGCTTGCACAAAGTTTCTCAAGGCAAATGCAAGTTTGGCTTGTTTCTTCAACCCAGCCATTAAACCTGCTGCATGTTATGCTTTGTTAACCAAGGTTTTGGGGTTTTTTTCCCCCTAGCTGAGTCTTCCTGTTTCTCTCTTGCAGCTAGAAAAGTCTCCTCCGGTTCGTTTAGATGCCTCCCTCAAATTTATTACTCTTCACTGCGTCTTTGATCCAACGGAGAACCTTCCCTTGGACATCAAGGCTTGGAGACGAACGTCTCTTGCTGCGCCAGTTCCTTGGACCGTACGTCCTTGAAGCAGGGAAGAAGAGCTGCAGCGAGCTGCTTCCTCTCAACGAAACTGACTTGGAAGAACAGTTCGTCCGGGGCTTCGGGCCCGGAGGCCAAGCCACAAACAAAACCAACAACTGCGTGGTTCTGAAGCATCTTCCTTCGGGGATTGTCGTCAAGGTGAAGGCACTAACAGTTCTACTTAATTTCCTGGCAGGGATCCCTTATTTTATCCAAACTTGCTCTGTTCCTTGTCAGGCGTGACCTGGAAGTTATTTGAGGATCTGAAATGGGGGTGGTGGTAGTTCCTGAACACTTACAGCGAGTAAAAAGCCTGGTCCAGGTGATTAGAGGAGAACCTTCCCTGTTGTAAGCACACCTGTGATGGGATGTGGAGTAAATTTAGGTCTGCGTTTGACCAGGAAAGAGTTCAATCTGCAAGTATTGTGGTTGTATTGAAACTAGTTGGGCAGTGTTTCTCAATCTTGGCTGCTTGAAGATGGGTGGACTTCAACTCCCAGAATTCTCTAGCCAGCAAAGGAATTCTGGGAACGGAAGCCCTCCCATTTTTAAGTTGCCACGGTTAAGAAACCCTGCTCTAGATGAAAGCATTTTTCAGCTAGTGGCACTATGCTGGCTGAGGAATTCTGGGAGTTGAAGTCCACAAGTCATAAAAGGGCCAAGTGTGAAGACCCCTGTATTAGCGTTTAGGGATGTCTTTGGCAGTTTTTACCAGCCTGTCAAGTCTCTTCCATACTATTTTTCCCCATTTTTCACTGCTGAATGTCACTGCCAACACTTTTCTTGAGTAACACCTCTCCAAAGGTTAGGAGTTCTGGATGAGGCATCCTGCATCCATTAATTCCAGATCCTCCTCCTTCTTCCCTAGTGCCATCAGACCCGGTCCCTCGAGACCAACCGGTCGAAAGCCAGAGAGATCCTTCAGGAGAAAGTGGACGTTTTCTACAAGGGCGACTCCAGCGCTGTGCTCCAGGAGAAACGGGAGTTGCACAAAAAAAAGGAAGAGAAGAAACGAGAAGCCAAGAAAAACCTGGAAAGGAAGCGGCACTTGAAAGAAATGCAGGCCCTGGAAGACAAATAGGAACAGAAAAGTCTCGGCTATCATTGTTTAAAATACGGGATCTGCTCTAACCAATGTACATTTCTGATTTTTAAAAAAAACTGTGATTCAGCAGAAAACAATACACTACAATCAATGCTTGACTTATTAGCAGGGTGGCGTCATTTTTTCCCCCCCATTTCACTAAGGGCAGGAGAGATCCCTGTAGAGGGAGGGGGGAAGAGCGTCACGTAATTTATTTCTTCTCCTTGCATATTCTTTTCCGGAATTTTAAAAGAACAAATTACAACTTGTTGGTAGCGTGCGAAGTTGCTGTAGCATTTTGGTCGCCACGATGTTAAATCCAGTTATCCAAGTTGATGCGTTCAGTCACATTGTTAAATCAGAAAAAGATGGATCCCTTTTCTGGAGTCCCATCAATGATTCTGAATACGTTTGCTTTCCTTTTCTTGATCTTTTCTGTCTCCTCTATTCGTCCTCTTGAAATAATTTTAATTATTTGTTCAGCGCCCCCCCCCAGACTTTAGAGCACACGACTCTCCAGTATTTAACCACAGAAATTACTGAAAATAAGCTTTATTACGTCAAGTAATAAATACATACAAAGAGGCAAGGTTGCAGTTTAAATCCAGGGAAGGGAGAATTGTTAGTATGAGGCTGAATTGGCTGTTTTCAGCTTGTGGAAAACTCATGCAAAGAAAGGGACATTTTGGAGGATGCCATTTATGGTTTGAGATGATTATGGTGCTTGAAGGGCAGATGGCAGGGGATTTTTTTTAACTCCTCCGGCTTAAAAACAATTCCTGAAATGGTTGGGCTGAGAGGCAAGTTAATTTGGGGTGATTAAGGCAATTTTTCCCCCCAAAGAGGCTAACCCTGCACATCCTAAGTATTTACCTTGATGCATTGTAAAGAATTCTGGTTTTTTGTTTCGTTTTGTGGATGCCCACAGCTCATCCACACAATGGCATGGTTTTGTCCTCCAGGCACGCAAAACTATTTGATGCATTGTACAGAAAAACGTCAGTAACGCAGGGGGATTTCTATTAGGGAAATCTGTCCAGCTTTATTTCAGCGAGGGACCTCTGGAAAGCTGCCGAGGATCCCTCCACCGGCCCTGAATGCAGACTGGAAAACGATCTTAAGAGGACGCGAGTCTGGAGAGCGACCGCAGAAGTCGAGAGGAGAGGTTGGGTGCAGATGACGTCTTAAACAGGAAAGAGGCAAAGCCTGTTCCCGATTAGGAGCAGAATTTGGGTGGAGAAAGGAAAAAAAAAAACCCCAACAATTTCCATTCATCCAAGGGGTGGCTTTGCATGGATCGATCCAGGCTGGCTGCCTGCTGAAAGCAAGGGTCAAAAGTTGTTTGTGAGATGACTGAAAGAAACCTCTGAACGGGAGCAGGAATTCAACCGGACATGCAGATCCATTCTTGAAAAGGACAATATCCAAAACTAGGAAGAGGACAGTTTGAAGAGTGGCTCTGCATGTTTCCAGAGGGAAAGGGGGTCTCGTGGAGGCAGGGACCAAAGGGGGGGGGGAGCCGGATCTTAGGATCTTGCATTTCTCTCAGTCTCTGCTAAACATTCCCGTACCAGTCCTCTGGCGTGGATGATACCTGTAAAAATAAGATAAAATATGGTCTCTTTTTTGTTTGAAGATGCCTTTTTTTCTTCTTCAGGGGAGGAACTAACTGCCTGCTGGGGAAAGAACATTATCGGGAGCCAGAATTCCAAAGTAAATCATATTTAACTGCAAAGCCTTTAGGTGCAAACTTCGCTGTAGCCTTTACAGGTAGAGTCCTCAATTTGCAACACCTTCGTTTAGTGACCGTTCAAAGTTAACAACAGTCCTGGAAAAAAAAGCGACTTTATGACCGTTTTTTTACATTTAACGACCTTTGCAGCATCCCGACGATCAGGGGATCAAAAGCCACTTTTATGGAATGAATCTATGTTTGCGTAAAATAGGGCATCTGTTTGGGGGGGGTGACCCTTAGAAAACAGCCTGCCCTTTTGCACCTGGTCAGGGTGGGTCAGCTGAGCCCACAACGGCCTCCTTTGTGGTTCCCAGTAAATGATACTGGGACTTAATTGGGTTCGGCCTACGAGGGTGGGTGAACCCTGAAGCTTGTCACCATGGCAATGGGCGAGCTGGAAGCAACCAGACCAAGTTACTTTGTCGGTTTGTTAGAGAGACGTGGTGGGACTGACCCCTGGCTGTGTTAATTCTCGCCGATCCGCTCCAAATAGTAGCCTGGCCTCTTTCCATCAGCTCTACCCGCTGCAAATCCAGAACTGGAGATTGTCAGCCTGCTTAACCATGTGCCCGTTGCTGGGGAATCACCCCGAGGACTAGAAACGGGGGCGATTAAAAAAATTGAAAGCAAGGCTGTCCCAATTTACCTCGTTTTAGCCTTTCCATGGCACTTTTACTTCCGGCATAGGTCGGTCTAATTTCTTTTCCTAATTCTTCAATGATGGTCAGCAGTTCTGCGTATTTGCTCTGAGGGACTTGATTGCTGCCAGTGATCTGCAGGCAGAAAAGAAAAGAAAAAAAAACCCGAATTAAGTCACAAAGGAATCCAAAAAGGCAAGGGTTACAAATCACCAGAACAATACAGATAGTCCCCAACTTATAACGGTCTGTTTAGCGACCGTTCGAAGTTACAACGGCCCTGAAAAAAAGTGACTGATGACTATTTTTTACACTTAGGACTGTTATACAGCATCCCCGTGGTCAGGGGATCAAAATTCAGATGTTCGGCAACTGACTCGTATTTATGACGGCTGCAGGGTCCTGGGGTCACGTGACCCCCTTGCGATCTTTTGACAAGCCAATGGGGAAGCCTGATTCTCTTAACAACCGTGTTACTAACTTAACGACTGCAGTTATTTCTTCTGCTTTTGCAGAATCTCACAGCATCCTCATTAATTTCAACCATCTCCATGACCTGAACGAAAGCAGGATTGACCACTGAACGGTCCACGTGTCTGTTAAAGTTAAAATGAAATCACATTTTTTACCTGCCCTCCTTGCGTGTAGCCCAGAGAGGGGGGTCCGTAGTCATTAATCAGGTGTCGGTACTGCCCCGAGCCGGCCATGCTAGTAGAAGGGGAATGAGCTTTGGAGAGAAACAAATGCAATGTATGATTGGATCCCCAAAGAATGGAAAAATATAGATAAATATCCGAGAAAATGCCTTGTCTACTGCTCTGTGGTTTAACAGCATGATCGACTGCTTAATAGCAACACAAAATTGCAGTCTTCAAGAGTTGTCATTTTCGTCTTGAAAAAGAAAACTTTTTTCCCCTTCGCATGGACTTGTTCTCCCCCAGCTGTGAAAGATTAAAAATTGGCTATTTTTATTCTTGTAATGCCGGTATTATTTGCAAGCTCAGGAGTCACCGCTAGGAGGTGGCCAGCACCAGAAATCCTAAATATTCCCCCCCCTATGCAAAACAGTAACAGGATCACGAGGGGCTTCAAAATAATCTTAATTTAGACACCCCAGTTCAGGAAAAAAAAACCTATGTCTCGGAAACGGGATGAAACTCAGGTGCAGGGGAACATCAGGTTCCAGCATCGCAGCAAATATATACATTTCCTTCTTTTTTGATGGGTGGGTGTCCCCCAGAATATATTTACACTAAAGTTGGCTACTGAACGCATCGACTTACTTCACAAAGCCTCTGCAGCGGCTCGTTTGGTACAGTATGGACTCAAGTCCAAAGTGCACCCAGGGTGATTTGCAGCACGTGCAAAGCGGTCCCAAAATATAAGGGAGAGGGGGAGACGTGAAACCAGGCATCTTGGCCATAAAAAAAAAAACGGGTTTGGCACGGCTGGCAAGCCAACATGGGTGACAAGTGGTGCGTGATTGGGGGCCACGGCGTTGGAAAGGTTGGAGATTATGGATCCACTCCGAAGCCCAGCTTCACCTGGCTGCCTCGTCCCGGTTGGATGAGCCCTCTACGAGCCCCCTCTCGCCCAAGGAACTGCTCCGTATCTCAAGGCTGTGCCCCCCCTTTCCAATCCCCCCCAAAACCGACGATTTGGGGTCCCTTTACCTGCTCCTTGGCCCTCAAACACGTAGTAGGACATAGCCTCCGGCAGCCCGAGCTTCCTCTGCCGGCAGCAGGCCCCCAGGAACAAAAGGAGGGGGGATCGGACTTGGCTGCGCCACCGCCCCCCCCAAACGCAATGCAGATGGCCGCCTTTTGCAGCCGTGCCAGCTTCGCCCAGCTGGAGGGTGAGGGTGGGTGGTGGAAGGGAAGCCACACAATGCCAGGCTGGCTTGGAAATGGAAAGCCTTCGCCAAGGGATCTCCAGGGCTCATCTAGCCGAGCCCGGATGCTGGGAGGGGGAAGCATGGCAGAGAGCCTCAAAGAGGTTCGGGGCAGTGGATCAACAGATTTGGCTGCAGGGATCTCTCCCCCTTCTGGATGGGGTCCGTTCAGGGGGGCTCAGAACCACCATAGCCTAGCCCAGTCCAGGCTGGGCTCAGAACCTGGCTGTTTGGGAAGAAATAGGAGAATACAAAGCCCATCGGTGCCAGCGTCCCTGCCTGGCACCTGGCCGCAGGGACGGACGGTGCCAGCTCAAACATTGGGTGCATTCAGCTTCAGCCTCTTTTGTCTGCCCGGCTGGCCTTGAGCCAGGGTGCCAGAGTGTGCCCCGTTCACAAAGCAGGCAGAGAAGCTACGATGGAGATGGGGGACACTTCAATGTCCCCACCCTTTGAAAAACACCCTGCGGAAGGAACAATGCCCCTTTAAAAATGAGCGTAAGAATACGAATAAAAAGAATAATAGGAATAGAAATAGGTCCTTGGTTAGGATTTGAACTGTTAAGTTTTTACTCGTCCCAGAGTGTGAATTCAGTCCCAGACTGAAGATTAAATCAATAATAATAATAATAATGATGATGATGATAATAATAATAATAATAGTACCCAAAGGGCTGCCTAGATGCATAGAAATTTTGAACATTAGACCTGAATATCCTGACTTTGCAAAAAAAAAAAACCACCCTACTCAGAATAGCCTATATACTCAGACACTACCTTAATTTTGGTCCTCGGTAAGGAACTGTTTTTATTAGTCCCAGACAGTGAATCCAATTGAAGATTAACACTAATAATAATAATAATGAATAATAACAGGAAAGAATAAGAAGAATAAGAAAGCAGCTCGGTTTAAATTGGAATCAAGCCAAGCATTCGAAGGAAGATCCTTCTAGATTTTTTTTTCTCTTTTCCTTTTCCTTTTTTTTTGTTTTGCATTGGGGATGATCCTCACGTCTTGGAAAGGAAGCGGACTGGATTTCAGAAGCAGCCTGAGTCATCCTTTCGATGTGGCAGATGGCTGGCTCAACCTTCCTCCCGCTTCGAAGCCCATCCAAAACGTCGCAATTACTACGCTGCGCGCACACACACACATCAAAAAGGCAGGACAAAAGGGAATCTTTTGGGAGCTGGAGAACTCAGCATTCCTGGGCCAGATGTGAAGGAACAGCTGCAGACTCAGAAATCTAAGTCCCGCTGACTTTGACCCTTTTAAGCTCCCCCAGGCTCCAGCCTTCATTTTTATTTTTAGCTGAATTTCCTCGGGGTCATCCAATTTTGTTTGCCCCAGGTGTTGAGGGTGCCTTTGAAATTCCCCACCCGTAAAACACAAGGGAGCTGAACGCAAGGATCTCGAGCATCCTTGAAATCCAAATATCTGGAATAAATCTGTCAGGAGAGGTGTTTTTGGGGGAGATGGCCATAAGCCTTGGGGCAGAGCCACAGGCATTGATTTTCAGTAGGCCTTTGCAAGCTATTGGTCTGAAAAGGCACCGAGGATGCTGGTTTAGACATTAAGCAAGCCATTATTGGCTTAACTATAGTTCACTGGAAAAAAAAATCACAGCTGGCTGGGTGCACAGAACATCCAGCTAGGTGCTGGCTGGGGAATTCTGGGAGTTGAAGTACAAACATTTTAAAGCTGCTAAGTTTGGGGGGGGGGAAACCGATTTAGCCTGTTATGAACCATGATGCTACCCATTAACCGACTTAGCCAAACCTAAGTTAGAAACCAAACTTTAGAAGAAAACCTGAGCAATTTTAGAAAGGGATTTTTGCAAGCCCTGTTTTTAAACCATCTCTCTCTTCAAACTCTGCCCTGCAAAGTTAACCCCTCCTGGTTTTTTAACAACCAGAGTCTTACAACAAGAAACTTTAACTCAGACTTCTTACCATTATTCAGAGCCTGAGACTACAATACCTGTTCAATTCTTGGTATAGTCGCAAGATAGATAAGAGATAGAGGAGGTAGAGATATTGATAGATGATAGGGGACAGATGATAAATAGATATACATACAGAAGACAGAGAAAAGAGAAAGAGAGAAGTATGAGAGATAGAAGAGATGAATAGATGATAGAAAGATAGAAGAGAGAGAGAAAGAGAGGAAAGATAGAGGTAGATGATAGATTGACTAATTAATGGGTAATGGATAGACTAGCTAGTTAGCTAAATCCTATTAGAACAGGGCTTCTCTAGGCATCCTGTCTCTATCTCTTTATGACATAGAGTACTGGAGACAGATAGGGACTACAACACCCAGAATCCCTGCCAGGCATTGCAAGTGCAGTCCCCCAACTTATCTTGGGGAGATACCCAATACATCTCGGTTAGGATCACAGGTCAGGGGAGGAGGAGGAGGATGAGTTAAGGGGGGAAAAAAACCAGAAAAGCGTAGTCGAAGGAAAAAGTTTTGTAGAGGGATGGGTAACATCAGGGGCGGGAGGGATGAAAGGAGAACCTTGATAGATTCCCATGGAGAAAACTTTCCAGGCAGGATCGCCACTCTCCAGCTGTTTAAAAGGGGGAGGGGGCAGCCCCCTCCTCACTCCGAAATCCCCCCCATCCAAAGCCCCTCCAGCCTCCCTTTTGGGGAGAAAGACCCCCGCGCCCCGCTTCTGACCTGGAGAGAGCCCAGCGCCGGGTCTCTGAGCATGTGCAGAGTCGGGCTGGAGGCCGAGGGTCCCTTGCTCTGCCCTCCCTACTCCTCCTCCTCCAGCCTCTCCCTGGCCTTCCCCGCCCCCCACCCTGCCTTGTGCCCGGCAGGGGCGAGGCCAGGCCAGGCTCCCCCCGCCCTCCATCCCGATGAAGCCGGGCGGGGGGCGGCGACCGGACCCCCCCCCAATATCCTCCCCCCGGCGCCCCCGCCTCGCCGGAGAAGCGGCTCTGCGCGCCATCCAAAGTTTGCAAGCGCACAAAGGCGGCGCGGGGTCCGCGGCAGCCCCCCGGCCTTCCCCGTCCTCCCTTTGGGGAGGGGTCTGCGGGCCCTCCCCCGCCTCACCTGGCCCCAGGGGCTTGAAGGACATGCGGGCGCCGGGAGGCTCCGGGGCCGGCACGCCCGGCGAGGTCCGCGCCACCTTCGCTAGCCGAGGAGGAGGAGGCGGCTAGTGGGGGGAGAGCCGGCCCTGGGAGCCTCCGGCCCCGCCGCAGCCGCCCATCCCTCCGCTGCTCTCGCCTGCCCCGCCGCGCTCCCGGCTCGGCCATGCGGGGGGGAGGGCAGGAGGAGGAGGAGGAGGAGGAGGGAGGGGGCGGGGAAGAGGAGGAAGGAGGAGAGAGGAAGGAGGAAAAGGAGGCAGGAGGGAGGGGCGGGGAAGAGGAGGAGGGGGAGGAAGGAAGGGAGGAGGGGGAGGAAAAGTTTCCCGGCATTTTTTCCAAGGAGCGGGAGGGAGGTCTTCCTCCCCGGTTGAGGAGGGGGCTGGCAGCAGAGGGGTCTGGGGTGGGTGGGCTGGTGCCTGCTTTTTAGGGGGGCGCATCTCGTTTCCCCTTCCGCTGTGCGAAATCTTTCCTTTCTCCTCTTTTTCTTCTTTCTTCTCCTGCCTGGTCTGTTTCCTTCCTGACCTCCTTCACGGTTGCTTCTTTCTAATTCCTTCCTTCCTTCCTCTTTTCTTTCTGTTTCTTTCCCTTTCGTCCTTCTTTTCCTTCTCTTTCTCCTTGCAAAGGAAAGGATACCTCCGAGTTGGGCTGCCTGGCGCCAGTTCCAAAAAAACAGAAGCAGCCAGGTTGAAAATCCCAGTCTTTGCAACTGGTGCCGGTGCTGTTTTATTTCCCCATTGATGATCTGTTTTTGTCGATTTATGGGGGGGAATTTAAGGCATCCGTGATGGATTTCCACGTTGCTGGTGGCTTAAGGGGCCGTATCTGTTTTGAACTGACATCCAAGTAACGAAGAGTCGTTGAGGGTTGAACCCGTGGCTGCATTCACACATTGCTCTGTGCCTTAATATCTGAGCTTGGCTTTGTGTGTTTTGTAAAAGAGGTCCATTTCAGGTTGATGTTCTTCAGCTTGAGCTCATCTAGCCTTCAAATCCTTCGGAATATCCTTGGGACAGGATGCTCGCCTGGGCCTGGGACTACAAAAACAGAACAAACACCAGGCCAGCTCCTACAGAATGCATCCTAGGGGACCAGTATGCAGGCAGAAGCTCCTTTCCCCAACCTGGTGCCCTCAATGTGTTGGACCCAACCGTGTGGCCTGCCCAGCCTCTCCCCGTACAGGGGAGGTCTACAAAGCCTGCGCATTCCGTCACCCAGAACACCCACATCCAAGGGACCCCTCGTTTCCTGCAACGTGTGAATCCCACAGAGAGGTTTGAAGTAAGGAAAAGTTGGCTTCAGGCTACATTTTCAGCAAGCAGGATCTGCGGTCAGCAAGATGGGGGCAACTGTTCCAGGACTTGAAGCCCAGCTATCTTCCAAGATGCCACGGTTGTGAAATGCCAGCCTAGACTGTTGACCAATTGGCACTGCAGGTGGCAAGGCACAAATGTCCCTCTTTCAGTTCTTTCCCCGATTCTAATTCTTCCTCTTCATCCCCACAGCTGCCCAGAGGGTTTTAACTTAGGGTGAAGACCACACTACCTTCTGAACGTAGTTGCCACTTGTCCCAAAGGTGCTTCCCACCCACCCCCAAAAGGCAACTGGACTGTTTTTCCTTCGAAGACATTTCGCTTCTCATCCAAGAAGCTTCTTCAGTTCTGAGTAAAGGGTGGAGAATGGTTTACGTTCCTTGCAGCCCTCTGATCCTTAGTCCTCTTTCTGAGGGTCCTTGAGACCACTTGGAGGTTTATCTGTGCCTTCAGAGTCACCTGAATAGAGTGAATGACACACACTCAGAAAGAGGGCTAAGGACCAGAGGGCTGCAAGGAATGTAAATCCTTCCATCCTCCACCCTTCAGTCAGAACGGAAGAAGCTTCTTGGGTGAGAAGCGAAATGTCTTCAAGGAAAAACCAAAGACGTCCAGTTGCCTTTTGAGGAGGGGGGGAAAGCACCTTTGGGACTGCCGTGACCTGGATGACTGAGAATCTCCATAAGACATTTAGTTGTCACTTTTTATCACCTCTTACTGTGCTCAAGTAACACTCAAATAGCCCAAAAGGTGGCATATCAATTTAATAACATTGTAAATGGTTCCTTGTTCTCCCAGCCAAATTCTGGATTTCTCTATTAATTGGACGAGAAGCAACTTCTCCCAAACAGCCTTTCTTTAATCAAGCATCTCCTATTTATTTAAGAACTCCATGTCTCAGGATTCCTGGGTGGAATGCCGACATTAAGGCCCCCCCGCTAATATTTGAACTGCAGATTATTTGAATATTTGAATTGTGTATTGTTATTATTTTTGCTTGCTGCTGCCAGACCAAGCTTAATAAACATTTAATCGGGATCTCTTGGTAACAAAAAGTAGGGTGAAATTGGTCTAGTCCAGGAGGGTCCAACCTTGGCAACTTTTAAGACCCGGGGACTTCAACTCCCAGAATTCCCCAGCCAGCCATGGTGGCTGGAGAATTCTGGGAGTTGGAAGCCCTCCAAGTCTAGTCCTTTAGGAGAATGTAGGACTCTGAAGGGAAAAAGCCACACAGTTCTCGGACCATGTAATTTCTTTTCTTTTTATTGTTAACGTTAAGCTTTTCGTAAGCCGGCCCGGGAATCTGTGGAAGGGCTGTATATAAATAAAAGGAAAAGAAGCTAAGGCGTTCTGCATTCAAAATGGAGCAAATAAAATTCACTCGCAGCCGAACAAGGTTGACGTCCCCCAAATGTACGGATGTAATTCTCGTCACCCAAGCTGAGAATACCCCAAACCATTTTCCCTTTGGATACGAAGAACGGATTCTAAGCGCCGCTCATGACTGGCAATAGGCAAGCACAGCAGACAGAAACAGCGGTGGCATCTCCGAGGCAGAATTGGGGTGGTGGGGGGAAGAGAAGGCAGATCATGCAGAGTCTCAACGGGGACCCTCCTCCTGGGAGAAGGGCTCCGGGCTCGCCGAAGCCTCGCCTGGCAAAAACCACTCGGCGATTCTTACAATACGAGGATCCCACAGGGTCACCATCAACCAAAACACAGGACTCCAAAGCTGGTTAGAACAGTAGTTTTTTTTTCTTTCTTTTTTTTCCTCTTTCTTTTAATTTGATACCTGCAAGATCTCGGCATACCTTGCAGGGTGGGGGTGGACAGGTTTATACAATCTCAAATGTTTCATAGTGCAACCTGTGCAAGCAAGAAATATGACAAACATTGTCCTTCACTTATAAACATCTACTATTATAGGCAAAACCAAAAAAAACCAAACTTACCCATATTCTTAGATAAGTGACTATTCACATTTTGTACATATACAGTTTTTAAACAGTTCCAGAATAAACTCTACAATGTCTTACAGACGTAAAACAGGGAGCATTTAAGTTATGGGGCAACAGAAAAATTAAAAACAGGAAAAAAACAACAACCACCCAGCACAGAAGCCGGAACCCTCATGTCAGGCTGCCCCCCCGCCCGCATCTAGTCTACAGCTCAAGTATTTAACAACAAAAACCAACAAAAAAAAATTTAAAAAGGGGGCTGCGGTGGGAATTGGAAGTAAAATTTGCGTTTTAGTTTCCTGAAAAATAAAAGAAATTTTGGAGAGAGAAGAGGGGCAGGGAAGGCCCTTTTCAAAGCATTAAGAACACCATAAATCTATTTTTTTTTTTAAAAAAAAGGAATTTCTTTTTTAAAAAATTAAGATGGTTTCATTGTACACGCACACGGATACGCAAAGCCCAAAAAGAAAAAAGGAAAACAGGAGGGGGAGAAAAATTAAGTCCCAGGGAAGATTGAAATATATAACCTGTGGAAGAAATCCAGAAAAAATACAATCACCGAGGGCAGACACCACTTGAAGAGGGGAAAAAACCAAAATCCAATCCTCGCAGCTACATTGAGACAGTCCCTTTTTCTTTCGCCCGCCGCTGGCTTTCCGTGCATTGAAACATGCATAGCCCAAAGTTGATGCCACCTTAAAACGCAGGTTACGAACATCGAGGTTTTCATGCTGCTTCTTTAAATAAAACATACTTTTTTTAATATAATTTGGGACCTCTGTTGTGGCCAATATTTATATATATATATATATCTACACATACATATATATACAGTTTCCAAGTAGGACATCTCCCGCAGCATGGCCCCCCCATGTTCCTGCATTCAACCCTGAGCGCCAAAGAAGCAAATGAAGGGGCAGCAGGAATAGGGACGTCTTCAAGCTTCTTCCAAATTGGACCGGGTGCGGTTGTCGCTTAAGTAGATGGATGTGTAGATGTGTACTAAGCAGGGCTACAAAAGCCCCGGAGAAATTAAAAAAAAAAAAAAAAGATGATGATATGACCGCCGTAAAGCAAGGCTGGGCTTTCAGTTTGACCACTCTTCCGTGCCTCTTCCGTGGAGTTCTAAGACAGCATGATGGAACTGAAAGCTAACTCTTTGGAATCTGTCCCTGATAATTCAAAGAAAAAGGGGGAGAAAAAAGGAGGGGGGGGACCCAAAAAGAAATAAAAACTGAAAGCGCCGACGCTTAATGGGTGGTCGAGCCAAAATACCACATGGATCTGTCTCATGCGTTGTTGAAATTGGCGATGCTCTGCGGATGGTGCTGTTGCCATATTTGTTGCTGCTGCACGGCCAGCTGTTGCGACTGATCGGACGTCGACAGGAGGTTGACGAGGGGAGACACACAGTTTGCTGGAATGATCAAGCCTGCAACACAATTTAGGGGTTGGTGAGGTCACTGAAGTCAAGGAGCTACGAGGATGAGGCTCTGCCCTGCTCCATAAACCAACATTTGTTGGTTAGGCTGCCACCTTTGATCTTGTTTTCCATCGTTTAAGATCTTAGCCCTTGTACAGGGCAGTGTTTTTGATTAAGATGGCAGCACTCCTCAGCCAGAAACTCCCACTTCTGGGAGTTGAAACCCACCCAAGCTGGCTGGGGAATTCTGGGAGTTGAAGTTTATACATCTTAAAAGTTGTTGAGCTT